ATAAGTGATTCAAGGTGTATTTAAGCAAGCTTAGAAGCCATTGATCAACAACAAGAAACATCAAGCAACTAGAATCAAGAGAGAATCAAAGAGAAAGCATCAAACCTCAAGTTTGAGCATTTCAAGCCTATTTTTCATTCAATATTCATTTTGCTTTCAAGAACACTTATTGTGCTCAATTGTATTCATTCTTGAGTGTTCTTTTCCTTGTTCTAGAATTGTGCAAACAATCTATCTTGTGAGGATTTCCTTGTAAGTTTGTAAATTTGTATTGTTCTATTTGGGAGAGAGTGTTCTTAAGAATTTTGGGTATAATTCTTGAGGGTTTGTAAGGTTACTCTTTGTCCTCAAAAGAAAGACAAATTAGTGAATTTGTGGAAAATCCTTAGTGTGGATAGCTAAGGTAGTGGACGTAGACTTTGGTTGAGAAAGTCGAACCACTCTAAATCGCTGTGCAATTTCTATCAATTTTCTGCAAAAGCTTCCACCAAAATTTTTATTGCCAATTCACCCCCTTCTTGGCTAATTCCGTCAATCGATTGACTCAACAAGGTCATCTCAGGTGAAACACAGATGTTCGATGAAATGCTTGTGAGAAAAAAATGGGGTTAGAAATGCAGAGTTGACAAATACTATTAACATAAACTAAGTATCATTGTTGAAAGTCACCAACAAAGCTGGAATTATTTTGTATAAATGACATATAATAATTTATTCGTTTAATCCTTGTGGTTAAAATTTTTCCAACAGATGATCAAATATAATAAAATCCCGAACAACACAATCACCTCTCAGTCTCTTTCGCTCACATGCATTCTCGCTTGGTTTTTGTTCTTCAATTTTCCACCATGTAAAATTGTAAATCTAAGGAGTGCTCTGTCTTTCATCTTTTTTTTTACAAAGAAAAAATGGAGGAAGAATTGTTGGAACGCAACACTGATTATGTTTATTTCTTAGTCTCTCCCCTCACTTGCAAGAAGGTATTTATTTTCTCTTTTGGGCTATTCAGAAGTAAGATTTTCCTCTTTCTCATTTTCAGCTCGCACTTTGTGTTTTTTGTTGAAATTTTTATGTTTCTGGAACTGCATGTCAATGATCTGGATATTCAGTGTTAGTTTGAACCAAAATCATCTAATTTTCTTTTTTTCTTCTTAATCAAAACTTTTAGTACTCCTTATGAAAGATATTCAATCTATCAGAATAGAAGTGAAAAATGGTCATGGGCTAAATTTTTTTTATCTTCTTGTTTGGTTTTTCTTTAAATCAGGGAATTGATTGTGAGTATCGACATAGTAAAATCGCCAGGCTCAATCCGAGAGACTGTTGGTACTAGTTTACTGGGAATTGTGTTGATTCGACATGTGGTTTTCGACGTCCTGCAAGCTCTTATTCTTTTTAATAAGTTCATGTTGATTATAAGACTGATATATCGTGAACGAATTAGGTTTTTTACATGTTTTGGAAATTTTACAATTGAATTGTATTGAATTATAACTTTAGAAGATAATTATGAATGCACACAACTCGAAAGGCATCATGACAGGGTAGTATATTTGGAGCAGCTACTTGACCCTGTGTTGGAAAATCTTTAACCATAAGGATTAAACGAATAAATTATTATATGCCATTTATACAAAATAATTCCATCTTTGTTGGTGACTTTCAACAATGATATTTAGTTCTCTTAGTAGTATTTGTCAACTCTACATTTCTAACTCCATTTTTTTCTCATAAACATTTCATCGAACATCTATGTTTCACCTGAGATGACCTGTATCTAACATTACACCTTGAATCGTTGATGGTCCCGATAGTCCATTGGTCGGGTCATCTCTCAATGGACCCTTATTCAAGTCAACACCTCCACATAATTCAAAGTTGGACTAGAATTTCTCATGCATCATCGATTGAAAAGTTACACTGGAAACGAAAAGAGAGAAGCGAAAAAGGAAATTCGAGATCAAAAAGTAATTTAGGTTGTAGAATGAAATTGAGGACTATGTTGCAAGTTTTAAAAGTTATGGGACCTAAATGCAAGCGCATGAAAAATTCAGTGACCATATTGCAAACGTACTAACAGCAGTGTAATGTCGAGGACCATATTGCAAACAAACTAAATGTTAGAGGACTGTATTGTAAGTTTTAAAAGTTGGGAGACCTAAATGAAAGTTTTAGAAAAGTTCAGTGACCATTACTATACTTACCCTTAAAATAACGATGCAAGTGTTTGTACAGGCTAATTGGGTGGGAAAGGTTGCGTTGTTGATAGCATCTAGTTCTAAAGTGGCTTTGAATTGTATTGACAATCCACTTCAACGTCCGTGGAGTCGGTGGTCGACCTTTTTCGATATTGATTGATTGATCCGCAAGATTGACTAGATCCACTTTGCTCCATCATGTGTACAGAAACTGCAATGTAATGCCAGCCTGCCTTGCAAAACCAGAGATGGTGATAGCTGCTTCAGCACATCTTTACTTCATCGTGGGTGTGGCCTCTGATTAAAATCAGTCCTCAGCTTTCAATTCACCTAGTAAATATGAGTGGTTGGCTTGTATCAACATTGAAATAGGAGTTGTCTGTTGAATTTGATCTGTGATACAACTTTTTTTATATATGTTTCATTTAAATGATAGAATAACATGGCAATAATTTTATTTTATATATATGTAGTACACCAGTAGGAGATGTATAAATTTAATACAAGAGCACTAGAGCTTTCATGGTAAATAATGATGGTAATTAAGCATTCCAAGGGAAACAAAGATCATAATTGGTTAAACAGGGACCATCGGACCTCACACTCCACACGCACTGCCTACAAAGAGCTTTATCCCTCGCCTCTACGTAAATGTCGAACCAATGTGTTGTTCCATTCCACTGAAAACTGCAGTAAAAAAAGGTGTTCATAAAGATGCTCGGGAGGAGTCTGAACTCGAAAGAGTTGCGGTAACCGATATGTTGTTCGCCCAAATCGTTATAGATTGATTAATACGTCTGTTTTTTTTAGCATCAACGAAAAGGCTTCGGACACGACCAAAAGCAAGAACAGATGGAGCAAGTAGGTGACGGGTGAAGGATTCATGTTTTGTTCTGATGGTCAACAGAATGGCACAGAAGCCGGTGCTACTCATTCTTCCAGGTTCATTCCTCTGAAATGAACTCTCCATTTCTGCATCTTCAATTCTTCATCTTGGTGTTCACTTTGCATGCTGCACCTTCGGTATTTTCAGTTGACGGAAATTTTATATGCTTAAGTTGTTAGATTTTGAGACTTTCATTTGCTCATGTTTTGAACAGAGGCTCTGAATGTTTCATTTACTAGTTGAAGATGGTTTGGTAATTTGATTAATCTTCACTGATTTGATCTATAACCAGAAAGTGTATAAATGCATTGAAAGTTTGTCCGCCAGGTAACTTTGGTAGTGAAAGATACGATCTTTGGATTCTTAATCCCAAAAAACTCTTTCTTGTTCATGGTTTAGATAAGCTTGAATAGAACCACCTTCTATTATTACTTATAAAGGTGAGTAAAATTCGATTTAAAAAATTACAATTTTTTTATTTGAACTGGATATTGAACTAAATTTTTTTTTACTGAGTTATAAAATAAAATTTTATTAATACAAAATTTTTTAATAATTAGTGAAATCATTTTTAAATTTCGAATCCCTCGATTTTGTATCATGTATATCTATTTTATATTGTTATAAAAATTTGTTTAAATTAAAATAAAATAAAATAAAAATATTTATAATTAAATTCAAATAAAAATTTGAATAATTCATCTTAATTAGTCGCATCAAAAGTTTCGTGCTTTCTGACTGCACTGAACGTGTTTTACCAAAATATATTCAGTGATGGCTTTGACTTCAAGAACATTTTTAGAAAGTAGAATGGAAAATGATCTGAACGAAAATATATTTTGATTTGGGTTAATATCAAAATAAGTGGCTAAACTATACTTAACATCTCAAATAGGTGCCTAAATTATTTTTTTGACTCGTCTAGGTGCCAAATATTACAAATGTTACCCATTTAAATGCCTTGGCCGTCAACGGCATTAATTTTCCCCGTTAAGTGACATGTGTCACAATCTGGTGATTTTTTTTAATATTATTATATTTATAAAAAATCTAATTTCTCTTAAATTATAAAAAGGCCCTCAAATACCTAAAAGCCACAAATCCTATCCTTAATCAGTCGTCGCCCCCTTTTCGGCCACGACGATCGCCGCTGACGTATTCCCTGCCATCCTCTTAGCCATAGGTCGTCGTAGTTGCAGTCGATTGGCCATCGAGATTGCGTGGGATCACGATTTTTATCATAGGGTTCGTTGGTATAAAACGTCGATTCGCTGTCGACCGGCCGACGATCGGTCACGAATTCATGGGGGTTTTGGTCGCCGGGAGGAGATGAGGTCGGGTGGAGTTTCGTCGACGGCAAAGGGTGATGGTCCGCATGGGTTTAAGGGTTGAAATGAAAGTTTTCAAAGTTTTTGGATTATTTCAAAATATTTATTTTTTCTTTAAAAATATAAATATTTTTAATTTTTAATTTTAAATAAAAGTTTTAAAAGCACCAGATTGTGACATGTGTCACTTAACGGAAAAATTAACACCCCGAGCACTTAAATGAGTAACGTTTGTAAGATACCTTGATGCGTCAAAATATAGTTTAGGCACCTATTTGAAAATTAATTTAGGTATAATCCGAACACTTATTTTGGTATTAGCCTTTTGATTTCACTACAATATCATCCGTCCGAAAATAAATTGTGATCTGTCAAGATATTTAAAAAGCCTAGAATTTAAGAGGAAAATTCTAAAGAATTTAGTTGATAAGCTAATTGTTGGCGGGTATCAATCAATATTAGTTTTGAGCCTTGAAAAAAAGCTTTATCTGCTAAATAAGTACTTAATTTTAAATAACAGTGGGGTTAGCAGGGCGCTGTTTAACCTCATTATTCTTAAATATTCTCGCAATACATGATAGATTTGTGCATATTATTGCCTTGCAATTCCCCAGTATTGTTCATTATTGCTCTTTAGCTACTTCCCAGTAATTTAACCCTCATCTCTTTTCTCGCTTCATCGGTTTCTCTCTCGATGCAAGGCAAAATGTGTATACAAGTGCTCCAAGGGACTCTGTTAATGACTCTTGATGTTTGTTATGGAGTGGGAAATTGGGTTTCGTCTTCACCATCATCTTCGCTCTCATATGTCCCAAGGTAGGTCTCATCCCCTTCCTCCTGTAGACACCGGAAAATTTTCGAAAGAAAACAAAGCATTAGATCAAATATCTTACATCAAGCGGCAGCAGCAGATCGAGCGTGAGAATAAAAGGCTATACCTCGGTGTCATCGTCATCAGTAGGATATGAAGAATCTACTCTGTCATAGAATTCCTCGTCTCCTCGGCCGTCCATGCTGTGCATTTGATCCTACCAAAGTTGCATGCAAGGTTAATGCATTATATCCATGGTCACACCCATGAACGAAGAAGAAGAAAAGCTAATACGGTACAGAAGAAAACATACTATCTCAGATCTTATTTTCTCCACCCTAGCCTGCAGTGCTGAAATATGCTTCAAGAGTGCCTGTTTAACAGAATGAGTAGAAAAGATGAGCCCTTTCGGAGGTGTATGCGATGCCAATCGGTAAATTAAGGAGTTGTCGAGAGATACCTCGTGTCTTTGAAGCTCAATAGAACGTGCCAAAGCCCTCCTCTTTGTCAAAAGATTCTTAGGCCTTATTGTAGAAGGCCGCTCATAATCCTTTCCTCGGTAAACAATTATGGCATATCCTTTGGAGATTTTATCAACGGAAACCAAAACTCCACCGCTTTCAGCTTCGAGCGCTATGGCGACCTTTTTTACCTGATCAAAATTTTTAGCCTTCAAAATGATCTTAATCAACTCCCTGTATTTCCAGTGCAAGTGCATGTTCTCTATAGTACCATCGAAAACTCCACGTCTACCTGAAGTGAGGATCAAACTCCCATAAAAATCTCGAATTCTAAAAATGAAGACTATGACAACTCTTGTAGAAGAGAAATACCAAGAAGTAAGAAAGCTTTCATCCTCAACCCGAGCTTGCGAAACATAAACCTTTCCTCATCAGTTATGCTTTCCGGATCAGCCTGTCTATCAGCTGGTTTTAAATAAACTTCAACCTTAGATAAAGCTCGTTCAGCTTTCAATAGCTTTCGCTCAGCCTGAAATGGAAAAAAACTCACATTCAAGCCTATGTAAGTTTAAATATACAACTTACTAGCGGCAGCATTCAGAGTATAAAACTAAGAAAACTTGTGAAAACATAGCTAATGACTATTCAAGGAACTCACAAAAGCTAAGTTCTTTTCAAGTTTCCTGACTAGGTTGGCATGCCTCAACATTTCTGCTTCCTTCATAACTTTTTCCTTATGATGATCGTCCAACGTCTTTCCCCATCTAGCATCTGCATCCAAAGTTTCTCCGAGGGTACCTGCAGCCCCCGATTGCTCGGTTACTTCAGTGCTTGGTACAAACAAAGCTGAGGCTCTTAACCGTGCTTGCTCCTCTTCATCTTGCAAGGACTTCGCCGTTCTTTCCCTTTCTGATAAAGCTTCAGCAACATCCGCTGACAAAAAGTTCTTTCCCCGGTAGAAGACCAAGAAGTCCTTGTTTCTGGAGAGAAGCATGCCCCCTGTTAATTTCTGAAGCCAATCATAAAACAGTAAGTGATCAACAGTTCAATCTGGTGTTTCGGAGCCCAAATAGTTGAACATAACATGTTTATGAAATATAACTGATATGGACTACCTATTCAGCCTCGACACTAGTGTATCACCAGCACATTGTTAGAATGATTACGAGATGATGATAACCAAAACAGAAGAACGGGGGAAGTTCGATCGCGTTGTCTAATTTAGTTGAATGAATTCATTGATTACTGAAGGAATGCTGAATTATTATGGCGCATAAAATAGCATAAATATTTCATATTCAAATTGATTCAACTTATTCCTCATGGCTTCAATCACAAGGAATTCAAAAGCTGGATTGCTAGCAAAAGAAGGCAGGTATGCAATAAGATCATAGTAGGGACAATTGGACAAGGTCCACTAACATATTCCTATTAGTCGGAACGACTCAACATAGGCTATGTTCTTGAACAGAAAACAAAATACATTCATGTTTGATTCATTAACTTTACAAAAAGCTAAGCTTTTTACCAAAAACTTTCACATCTCAGAGGATAAAGACAGAACACCAAAAAAAGGATAGGAAGCATTGGATACTAGTTGACACAAAGATACAACGAAATGGCTGAGAAAATTTAGTTCAATTACCTTGAGATCTTCAGCCATTCTCTCACTAGTAGTTAGTTGCACTCCTCGTTTGAGTGCAATCTTCGCAATAGAACTTTTCTCCCACAATTTAATCATGGCCACCGCCAGACCTTGGAGCTGCCTACTTCTACCTGGAGATGTATACTTCATTAGACATTCGAAAGAACCGTATTTAGATCATATGCAGTGACACAATAACTGTAGCATACCTAAAGCGAAATGCGGAGGAAGAACTCTGGCAAGTCTCCTCAAAGACGTTGCTTCCTTTACTCCGAGAGAAGATCTTACCCCGTAAGGAAGTACTCTAAATGGAGGCCGATACCCAGGAACTATTCCAGGAAGCAAATCAGCATCAACTGGTAAGGGATTACATCCTGGCCAATCAGCATACCTAGGACCCAGGCCCTCTAAAAACTTGTCCACTTCATCCTCGTACTTTACTTCTGGCAATGGCTCTGCATTTTTATGCTCCTCAGCTGCAGTTTCAGAGTTTGCCTTCGGTGGAGCCACTTCATTTTGAGAACCCGAGTCAGAAGGATCCTTAGTTTTATTAGAAACTGGGGATGATGAATATGTAGACATCTCATTTTTCTTATATATATTTTTGTTGAGGTGCACCGAGGGAACCTCATAGCTAACACCTCTATATAAAGAAACGGATGTCCCGGACCTCCAAACTACCAATCCACCGGTTTTTCTCTGCACAAATGAGAAGACAAAACAGCCTAATTAGCAACAGATAGATAACTAACAATTTCATTCCGACTCAGAGAGATAGGAGTTATAACATTCTTACATATTATCATCCCCTGAAATTACATTATTATTTATACTTCCTTTGGTTTTGTACAACAGTCCGCATGTGAGATGATATCATTCCCCAACCAAACGAACTAGGGAATAAACACAGCAACAGGATATGCATATACATATTTTCAAAGAGGTTTATTCTTCAAATATTTCTACTTTCAAGAGCAAAAATGGTAAAGAATTTTCTACAAATACTAAAAACAAAAATAATGAAAGTTTATCAGAAGCAAACCTCCAATATTTCGTGCATCCTTTTCATATTAAGCGCAGGTGCCCCTTCAACCTTTAACCTCACAATCTCCGTAGTCTTCCACTTGTCATGAATTGTATCCACCACTTCTTGAGTAACACCAGAGCCCTTAATTCTCATTTTACTCTTGGTCCGAAATGTCAAGTTCTTTAACCTTCTGAGTTCAGACTCAGGCAGGGTCAACTCAGCCACTGAAGTCTTAACATCTCTTCTGGCTGTCCACTTCTCTTCTTCTTCTTCTTCTTCCTTCCTTTTCTCCCATGGAAACCTTACTTCCCCATCACTTTCAGACACACTTTCGACCCCCAAAGGCGACTCCTTTGAGAACCCACCTCTGGTATTTGGTAACATTCCTTCTTCCACATAAAACATATCCTCTACAGACCCTCTTTCATTATCTCTCCTTGTTTGTCCTTCACCCTTTCTTTTCTGTTCAGTTTCCTCTCCAACATACCCAAACTTCTTCAATTTCTCCACTATTTTCTCCATTGTACTACTGCTGCTGCTGCTCCCATTGTTACCACTATTTGAATAAGACAAGCTCCATGAATTCCCGTTTTTCCTATAGTTGAACACTGTTTTCGGTGGTTTTGGTCCATTTCTTTTGTGGGTTTTGTTCCAATTATCTAACCAATTACTTCTCACGATGGGAAAAGCTTTGGTTTGGCTTTCTGGGTATCGGTGAACATGTGAGCTTGAAGCGATGGTATGGTTAGCAGCACAAAAATTTAGGGCTTTTAGAGGAAGATTAGACCTGAAAAAAGGGAGAGGGAGGCCATTGAACCTGGAGAGAGAGGCTTGAAATGAATCCAGGAAGGTTGATTTGGTGGTCGTTGTTGGATGAAATAGAGTCATTGATTAGATGAAGAAACAAAAAGATGCACAAACTAATCAGCAGAAGAAGAAGTAGAAAGATAGGGTAATTTAACAAAGGATGTTTTGATTAATTTAAACTGGAGATGCATGTTATAGTATCCATGGCTGGCGGGGAAGAAATATACGTGCTCTGTTTTCGCCGGTGTTGTAATCAAAACTTGGAGATGCTTATAGGTCAATTTGGGTGAGGCTCCTCCAATACTTTTAGGATAAACTTAATACCCCTGAATTTTAAAATTTGTATCGGTTTCACCATGAAATTTTAACAAATTTCAATTTAGCATTATATTTTTGTCTTGGTTTCAATTAGAGCATTGGGTTGTTAACCCATTAATATATTGATTACACGGTAGTTTAGTGCTGAGATAAGACTAAAATGTGTTAGAAGTCGAAATTCAAAATACTTTTTATTCCATCTTATCATTTTCTTTGTTAAAGTTAGGAATTTTGCACATATTTTTAGTTATAGTTTAAAATCATCATTCTTTGACGTCTTTTACGTCTCTAGATATTGATGAATTTGTCATATTTGAGGAATTTGATGTTCATTAAAAAATTCGAACGGTGAGAAACATTCTTTTGAGAAGACAAATTACATACCTAAAACAGTAGCAGGTTCTGCTTTTATTTCCTTGGGTTAGTCGTTGGAAGGTTGGTAAGGGTAGCTCGTCAATGGTAAGTTGTAGGGACTGTGTTTGTATTGAAAGAGCTAATATATTTTCACTGTATAATGATCCATACTGTTTCAAGGCACACTCTTTTTCCTCCATTTAGGTCTAGGGAGGTTTTTTTAATAAAGTCCTTAAGGTGGTGTACTTTGTAACTGATTATAATGCAAAGTACCTTCTTTCAAAAAAAAAAAAAACTAGTCTACTTGGACAATCGTTAGAGGAAATTTAAGTACTAGAACACCGAACCTTTAGATAGATTTTCATCACTTTTAAATGAGTTTTGTGGAAAACTAATCTAAGCAGAAAAAAAATGTATGAAATACAAACTTTTCGATACCAATTTTTTTTGTGAATGAAAACTAGTGATAGGTGGTGATTGACAAATAATGACGATTTAAGTAACTATAAGGAACATAATGATATATGAATTAAAGTTTCGTATCTAAAATGAAATATTTTAAAATTTAATGACAAATTAGAACACAAACTAAAGTTTATCAGGAAGAATACCACCATCTATTTGGTCGTTAAAAATCTGACATTTCAATGCTATAATTTAAGCCAAAACCAATTCTTAATGTTAAAAATGAATGTCTTTAAAGTTGAGTAGTAAAATTGCTATAAATCTTAAAATATAACACTATTTGATATAATTTGCACATTTTTAAAATTCAGACTCCGATCCACCTACATTATAAGCTTCATATTCGACTCATATTAAATCCAAAGATTTTGGGTTTGACCCAACCCCAATATTTAATGGATGGATCAGGTCATCCGTGTATTTTCTCAATGTTAAAGTGGCCCAAAACTAAAATGAAGAGAGATTAAAATTTTAAGCAAGAAGTTACATAAATTTATTAAAAAAATAGTTAACAGGGTTGATTTAAATGGTAATCAACTTGATGTTGCTTAAGTATTGTCTCGGGTTTGATTCTTTGTGTATGTAGAGAGAGACTCAACCACGAAAGTCATATGTGTGATGAGAGTCGGTCCGAATTAGTTAAGACAAAGTCTTGAAACCATAAGGACAATAAAAAATAAATAAAATAAAATTGATGTATTGGTACGAAGGAAACAAAGAAAAAGAGAAAATGGTACAAATCGACAATAACTTAACGTATAAAAGAAAATTTTGTAAACCATACGTAAGAATTTGTAAATTAAGGTGATTACAAAGTAGTATTTCTCAATCATTTGACAATGAATGCTCAATCACTCTGCTGCAACCGCTGGTGCTCGAACCCGTGACCTCTAGGAACAACAACGATTCTTAATCTATTATAGTAATTATGATTATTCTAAATTTAAAATTTTATTTTATTATTGTTTTATTTATTACTTTACCAATTTTTTTAATTAAATTCAAATATCTTTTTTTAATATTTATATTTTTATAGTAATTATTTCCATTTTATTTATTTAATTTTTTTATATAAATTCTTAACTTTCTAAAATTTTTAGGATTTTTTTTTTAAATTTTTAAATTCTCTTCATTATAGGTCTACTTAGAATGTTAAACAACAAAATATTGAGCGATAATTGGTTTTATAATTTGACAATGAACGCTCAATAACATATGATGCAGTGGTTGATGTTAAGAAATAACAATTATTCTTTTAACCACTGAGATATTTTGGTTCATTCATAAATTATTAATTTTCAAATAAATAATAACTTAATTTTAAGTTATTTTAAATTATTATTTTAATAAGTTTAAATTAGTTTAAAGTGTAATAGAAATTCTTGTATTATATTCAAAAGTTGTACTATAAAAATATTTTAGTTTTTATATTATATCTAAAAGTTCATTTTAGTCTCTCTACTAGAGAAAGAGATATTTTAGTACATGTACATTTGCAAAAATAAATATTTTGATTTAAAATTTTAAAGTTGTAGTTTGTTGGCTTAAATATTTTGGTTTATACACTTTTTAAGTCTATCAATTTTAAAATTGAGCAAATTGATACCTCCTAGAAGAACAAGAGTAATTTATTCAATATACATTTTGAAAGTGAGTAGAAATAAGAATTATCCATGATAGTGTTCATCTTTTTTGTCAATACATGACACGTGTCCAACTACTATTGGATAACATTTTCTGTAAAATAAAATAAAAATAAATATTTTCATAATTTTGAAAATATTAATGAAAATTTACATATTTTTTATTATTTTCTCTATTAAACCCTTATTCACACTCCAAATCTAAAAATTCTAAAAAAAAAGTTAATGCATACTTTTCAATTAAACAATTTAGATATCTTTCATGTTTTTATTAGTAATTTCAATACTATTATAAGTGAAGACTATAGAGTTTGAAGTTTTAATAAAAATTAACTTTGCATTTAGATTCCACAAGCATTTAAAAATTTTATGTAAAAATTCACACAAAAAATGTAGAGATTAATTTGCTCGAGTTTAAAATTAAAAGACACCTCTTTAGTATTCCAATTAAAATATTGGGTTAAATACCCCATTCATACACGAACTATACCAAATTCTCAGTTTCATACATAACGTTTAAAAATTTTGATTTCATACATGGTGTTTTCTACCATTAACATATTCACCCACTTTTGTTGAAAACATTTTTGATATTTCGATATAACAAATTAAGTTAAATGAATTTTAAGATTTCACAAATGATTTTACAAATTCGATTCAATTAACCGAATATCAAATTATTACTCCAAGTTTTTCAAGATCAATTCTAATCCTTACTAAATGTGTAAAATTGTGATTTGTACTTAAACTATTTTTGAAACAATTTTCACAAAGTATTTTGAACCAAAAACAAGCCTTAAATCAATTATTCAAAGGCATGCACCGATGCATCAGTCCATGCATCGATGCATCGATGAATTAATTGAACATCGAATGCATTCCATGCACCGATGCACTCTCCATGCATCGATGCACTCTGAATTTTTTCAAAACATCGAATGCATTTGATGCATCGATGCACAAGCCATGCATCGATGCATCAGGCTATTTCTCAAACATCGAATGCATTTCATGCATCGATGCACACTTGGTGCACCGATGCATCAAGTGTTCCAACGGTCAAAATATTTGAATTTTACACGAATGCACCGATGCATACTTGATCATGCATCGATGCATGAGACGCTCCACATAGAAAAATCAATTGTTTTCACACTTAAACGGCTCTATTATCCCCACTAATTATCACCAACGTTCAGAATTGATTCAAGGGGTATTTAAACAAGCTCTGGAGCCATTGATCAACAACAAGAAACATCAATCAACTAGAATCAAGAGAGAATCAAAGAGAAAGCATCAAACCTCAAGTTTGAGTATTTCAAGCCTATTTTTCATCCAATATTCATTTGCTTTCAAGAACACTTTTGTACTCAATTGTATTTATCCTTGAGTATTCTTTTCTTTGTTCTAGAATTGTGCAAACATCTTACCTTGTGAGGTTTTCTTGTAAGTTTGCAAATTTGTAATCTTCTCTTTGGGAAAAAGAGTGTTCTCAAGAGTTGGGGTATACTCTTGAGGGATTTTGTAAGGTTATCTCTTTGGCCTCAAAAGAAAGAACAAATTAGTGAATTTGTTGGAAAATCCTTAGTGTGGATAGCTAAGGTAGTGGATGTAGACTTTGTTTGAGAAAGTCGAACCACTGTAAATCGCTGTGCAATTACTTTAAATTTTCTGCAAAAGCTTCCACGAAATTTTTAATTGCCAATTCACCCCCCTCTTGGCCGATTCCATAGATCGATTAACTCAACAATTGGTATCAGAGCCTCACTCATTTGAAGGTTTAATCGCCTCTTGAGTCGATTCGGGAAGAGTTACATCGATTACCAAGTCATCAATGGCCTCCACTTCAAATTACGACTCCGGTCTTGATTCGATGCCCGTCAACAAGCCTCCTTTCTTCAATGGAGCTAATTACGCCTATTGGAAGAATAGAATGATGTACTTCATTCAAGAAGTGACATGGGAGCATGGAATGCCGTAGAAGAAGGATACATCAAGCCTATCACTCATCCAAGGTTGTGGAGTGAAGAGAGACAAGAATGTTCCAGCTCAACTCAAAGCCATCCATATTATTTTTTGTGCTCTTGGACCAGATGAATACGGAAGAGTTTCATCGTGAGAGTTTCATCGTGTACAACCGCCAAAGAAATATGGGACAAGCTTCAAGTCACATATAAAGGTACATATGAGGTAAAGAAATCAAAAATTAGTATTCTAACGCATAGCTATGAAAATTTCAGATGAAACCAAATGAAGACATCAAAGCTATGACGGATAGATTTTCAACGATTGTCAATGGTCTCAAATCATATGGAGAGATCATCTCAAATGAAAAGCTTGTGAGGAAGTTAGTCTACTCCCTCCCAAAATCATGGCAATCAAAGAAGACGGCAATCATCGAGTCTAAGGACCTATCGTCCTTAACTCTTGAAGAACTTATCGGTTCACTCCTCACTCATGAGATGATGC